CTGGAACGCCATGAGCCCTGGATCGATTGGAGATCCAAAACCTTAGGCACAACGCGCAATGTTCCTAGCGAAGCTTTGGAGAGTCATGAACCCACCTTCGCTAGGATACAGAAGTGCTATTGGCGCGAGCCATTAACTGAGTTAGTTAGTTGTGCTGGACATTGGAGTTTTTGAGTTGATAAACTCCAATGTCAATAATAATAGTGTCGAGTAGAGCTCAATTACACCTAGTGGAACGACACGTACTCCGTTGAGTGATACATACAGTAATTGAGACACTGGATGTCGGTAATGAGATCGACTCTCGTATAGAGCAAGTCAAGGTCGATGAACTTGATAGTAAGTGATATTGGCTATAATAGCGATATACTGGATGTCGGTAATAACATCAACTCTCGCATAGAGCAGGTTAAGGTCAAGGAATCTATCGACCTTGGGGATGTTGGTGTATCCAAGTACCTTAAAAGGTACGGTCTCGTCAATGAGACGTCAGCGTCGCCCGTCGCCAGATGGAGGCTGCGAGACGCAAGGCGTCTGTTTTATCGCGTGGTACTGTCAGTGACCAGGTCAACGGAGTGACAGGTGATGTAGATGAGGAAGTTGACCTGGAGGCCCTCCCATCACTAAGTGCTCTCTTAGAGCTAGACGAAATGTCTGTGGATGAGTTTCATTAAGTCTTGAAGGCTGGTGCTCTATCCGATACGGTGGTCATTCGATCTGACCTCGAGTTGAACTCATGCTCGCTTGTCGATGAGACAGTCCTTGAAGATACAAAGGCGGCACTTAGTGCACGTATTGGATCATCAATTCTGACGAATCCTTCAGATCCTTACTATCCTTTAGGTAAGGAATTTCAGGACGTGGTGTGCATAGTTCACCGTTGGTTCTGACCCCTGATATGGGTGTACGTCATGAGATTGACTTGGTTCCTGGAACTATATATTGCGTAACACGGCAGTGGCCTTTACTCAAAGAACAGTGTGACGTCATTGACGAGTTCTTTCTTGCAAAGCACGTAGCGGGTATGGTGCGCGAGAGAAAATCCCAGCACTCGACACCCACTTTCTGTGTTAAGTAACCGAATGGTAAATGGCGTATCGTTCATGCTTATCATAAGTTCAACGCAGCCACTGTCCTTTCATAGACGCCAATTCCTAAAAAAGTGTACTTCAGAACAATATGGTCGGTTGTACCATGTACAGTGCACTTGACTTAGTGGTTACTACGAATTGCTTATGCGAGCTAGCGATATTTTGCTCACCGTGGGTAGTTCTCCAAGCGGTATGCTCTGGAAGTGGTTGGTTTTGCTCCAAGGCTGTCGAACGCTCCAGCTACGTCTAACCGTTTGGTGAAGCTATTGTTTCGACTACATCGAAGCTATGCACCAACTGTTTGCGATATCATTTTATGTCCATAGTCGTGCCGAGCATGTGCGGTCAGATACCGAGAACCATATTGATTACTTACGATTTGTGATCGAGTGCATGCGCACCAATAAGCAATATGCTAATGCATCTAAATGCATCTTCGGGGCCGAAGAAATTCCCTTTCTAGGGTGCTGCATTGGGAAGCGAGGACTACGAGCGGATCCCGCCAAAGTCAAAGCCATAGTCGATTGGCCTGTTCCACAATCTCAGAAGGACTTGCGTAAATGGCTTGGCCTTGCCAATTACTTACACAAGTATAGCGAAAATTACGCTGATATGGCTCGGCCGTTATCCAATCTCCTTAAAAAGGATGTGGAATGGTGTTGGCATGCCGAACACGAAAATGCTTTTCAAGCAGTGAAGGCAAGCCTTCTACATGCTCCTATTTTGGCTTTGCCAGACCCTGACCGACCGTTTAGCGTCGTCTGTGACGCATCGGATTTTGCCATTGGCAGTGCTCTGTTACAATCAGATGATGAAGGCCGTGAGCGTGTGATCGCTTTTGAGTCTCGCCAGCTGAAAGCTGCAGAAAAGAACTATCCAGTTCATGACAAAGAGCTGCTTGCGATGAAGTATGCTTGAGTCGAATTCAGAGTTCATCTGCTGGGCTCAAAGCCTTTTGTGATCTATACCGATCATGCGTCGTTACGCACTGCGACTCAGTCGCCTCACATTTCCCAGACAATGGCAAGATGGATTTCTTTCTTTGCTTGATATAAATTTGAGGCAAAGTATAAGCCGGCAAGCGAACTCTTCGGCTCATGCGCTGTCACGAAGACCTGTCTATGATCTGGCTTATGTGTAAGATTTTTTTCGTCGTTGATCACGAATCTTATTCGAGCTGCTTACGCTAATGGTGAGCATTGCGTAGCTTTGCTACATGCCCGTGGCAGTCAAGAGTTTAAAGACTCGGACAATAAATTGTCGGCACAATTGGGTGCAAGCCTTCATTAAAATTCTATCGATCAGAATGTTTTACAAATGTAGCGGATCTTCCGCGTATGGTACTTCCTCATGATGAGGAACATAAGTTATGAGGCACATGATACCGCCATTGGTGGTCACCTAGGTTGTGGAAAAACCTATGGTTTAGATGCCGACGTTATTGGTTGCCTAAACTGTATAAATGGGTAAGCACATATGTGCGTACGTGTGAAACGTGTCAACGGGTAAAACTCTCGGCCAATCCGGCGGCCCTTTGGCTAGTTTGCCTATTCCCACTGGGTGTTTGGATCCATTAGTATAAATGTTGTGTTTGGCCTACCAAAAGATTCGTATGGCAATTATGGTCTTTTATAACCGTTTGATTGAAATGACTCACTTAGCGGATGTGCCGTATTCGATAAATCGTAAAGGTTTAGCGCAGCCGTTTATCCAATGAATGTTTCCGACAACATGGCTTGCCTGTGGCAATTTTTTGTGATCATTTGCGCTCAGCGAATGGGTCGACTACTTGGGCTAGGTCGTGAAGAGTAGGAACCTCCCTGGTGATGGATATCTCAACGCTTTGTCGACGGCCCAAAATTTAGGAATAACCTGTCTTTTGAGTCACACGCTGAGCATATAAAGAGAAAAATAGATAGAATGAAGTGGTTAGGACTAATCTTTCAAACTAATCAATAAATAGTAGAGGTTTTATTCAGATTACATACGTCCCGACAAGTTTTTTTAGTTAACATTTGAAGGAAATTATTTTACGGAGGTTTAATTTAGACATCTTGAGTGCTCTTGCGCCTCTTCTCGAATTATTGACGAAAGCCCAAAACATAAATTTTGCACTACCTTCTCGTAGAACTTTTAGGCCTTTAATCTGAATGTCCTGTTAAATGCCAACGTGAAGATTTTCGACGCTATAAGGAAATGCAACCGACCGAGGAGCGGGCACCCAAGCCGTATCCCGTATATCACCTCTTTAATGCTTCACGTGACTATGAATTCTGCTGTGATATCGTCGTTATATATTCCCAAACTCCTGTTAGAATCGAAACCCCAGAGGTGTCAAGAAATGAAATTTCCTCGAGATGTTGTTGCCAATAGAGGCAGCATCATTCACTGTACCGCATCCTCGACATGTCAACGTGACAGGTGCAAATTGTGCGCACCTTCAAGTGCATAGAGACGGCAAGGCACAGCACCTGATGAGCCGATTCGGCTCATCAGATGACCAGCATCAGGTAACTTTGTACCGGTGAACCGGCTCAAAAATACAAGGGATCCGTCTGATGCTATGTCAACGTGACATAGCCAGACAAGCCCCGTACAACCTCTAGACTCAAACGAAGAACCGGCGTTGCTTATTAGGTTTAGAAACTTCTAGACGTCCTGCAAGAACTATGTGTTATGTATACTAAGATTACACTATGGCAACAGCACCGTCAAAGGTCTCTGAAGCCGCTCGTGACATACCTCGTGGCTACCGGCCGGATCAGAATTTACTTCTCCAATAATATAAAGTCATCCTTCCGACTCTTACACACTTGTACACCCATGAGCACAAAAGTTCTTGGCCAATGGGATGAAAATCTTTGGATAGCGCATGACAAGAGAATTATGCTACTAACAAAGAAGTCTTTACTGCTACACGCTTGCACGCTAGCTGAGTTACAAAGTCGGCGAGTTTTAATACTAATTACCGTATTCGACCCCCAAGCACGAGGTCAAATACTTACCACACGATTTCTAAACTTGCAAGAGCCAACTGATGTCAAGTCCCTATCTGCACGAAGAAGAAGTAATGCAAATACCGGCTCAACTAACGCTGCGAAACGGACCTGAGGTACTGACCAAGTACACGTGGACAATCATTATCCAGGATGTTACACACGGGCGCCAACACGCACACGCCCAAAGTATATCATCCGCTCAAGTGGTTTAGTACAAACAAGCACCATTATCCCGTTGCGTACCGGAGCTACCTCCCGAGAGTGCAGGCGGATATCAAGCGCGAGTTCCCCAGACAAAGCTGACATTCTTGGTCGGACCTGGAAAAGAATATGGTGAATAGATTGCTTTGTCTGCGTCACCACGCTCTGGATCAGCAAAAACGGTGTATCCATAAACAGGAACGTGTGACCACGGAGCAAGAGGTAGCGAAAGTCAAACAAGTCCTTCTTCGCCAACTCCAAGCGGTCGCTATCAAAGAAAAAGGGATGTGAGCAATGGCGTCTACTTCCGCCTAGCCACAGACATGTGTTATAAAACCATCGTCGACCGGCAGCCGGCACTGCACAGCCCTTGCAACCGACAGGAAACATTTCGTGGGGTATTTGAATGGCTGTGGACTTTTCAGAAACCATAACGGTAAATAGACACTCTGTTTGTTCCCACAACAACAACAATAAAATGTTAGATAGACTCGTCTGCTTTCCTCTGGTCGCGAGACAATGCAGTGCATAGCGTAGAACCGATAATGGTGAGTGCATACTATGCACTCATCATAATCGATTCTACGCACCCCATCATAAAATTCTGTTTACAGAGTTTCCGTTCGCGTTCTTAGAGGTTGCTTGCTATCTTCTATCCATTCCACTCTACTTTTATTTACCAGACCAGCAACCAGTGAAACTTCCGACCATGAAGATCGGCACCTTCCTGTTTGTCGCTCTAGTAATTGCTACGATCATTGACCAAGCAACGGCCATGGAAACTGCTACTTACGATATGGAAAAACTCAACGAACAGGACGATGAAAAAGTATCCGACTCAAATTCCAAGAATGGAATTTCGCCACCTGCACCGACTCCTGCACCGACTCCTGCACCGACAATTGAATGCAATCATACCAAGCAGGTGATCGGTCACAACAAAATAAAACCACTTCCACAGCCTAAACCCGTGACTATTTCTGAAATGATTGCCGTCAGATTTAAACCAATGCTCAGAGTTAGCAACGGATGTCACCCGTACCCCGCGGTGAACGCAGAAGGTGAGACTAGCGCTGGTCTTAAGACTACCGGGTCTTCTGACGGGAACTGCAAGGGATCTCAATGGGGGTCTCAAGTTTACGGACGCTCAACTTTGTACCGGAAGCACTGGGTCATCGTGTACGCATGGTACTTCCCAAAAGACTCTCCGGCGCCGTATTTTGGTCACCGTCACGACTGGGAGCATGTTATCCTGTGGCTAGAATTTAATCTTGACAACAATTGCTTTGAGATCGGGGCTGTGACGCCGTCGGCTCACGACGGATTCTCGAAGCACTGTCCTCCTGATGCCTCCACGGTGAATAATACGAATGTAAAAATCGAATATCTAAGCAAATGGCCGATGAACCACGCACTCCAATCCACCTCTGAGGAAGGTAGCTTTCAGGATCTGATCTTATGGCATCAGCTACCAGAGAACGCTCGTTGTGCCTTAAATTCAGTGAACTGGGGCAATGCGAACATGCCCCTTCGCGATTCCAACTTTTATAACAACCTAAAAAAAGCGTATCCTTATTGAATGAATTGACGCATCTTAGCGATGTAGATGCAAAATCATACAAGAATGTAGCATGCTATCTTACTCTCACTTCACAACGGCAGAGTCCAGTGCGACAAAGGAACGGAGCCCTCGCAGAGCCAACGATCTGGCCCCTCTACCTTGAAGGTATTCTCCTCGCAGCGCGCGCTTTGAGCAGCGTGCGACCCGAAAGGGAAGCGGTCCGCAGAACATCCCCAGGGTGTTGGGTCGTCGACAGAATTTCGAATCCCCTGCACCAAGGTCAGTTCGTACCCTTCACGAGCTGCCTCCAAGTCGTCGACTACTTCGCTAAGCGCAAACCCACGGTGTCACAAAGAGACTCCCTCCAGATCATGATAGCTCCGTTGAGATCCAAGTATTAATCGTTTATGTAACTTAAGCACCAGGTCAGATATTTTTCGGTGCGCACGAGCAAGTCTGACCAACTTGTGACCCGCAACGTTCGATCCGATAGGCAGAGCAAGTCGACCCCGCGTGAAAGGCCAGAAATTACGTCATGATGGCCGTCAAGTGTGCGCATTTTTGACTTGGTCAACGGATCCAATCACGTGTCATTGGAGGTGTGCCCCACCGAAGTATCAAGCCGGCGGAACAAGAAAGCGTGGAGGAGATTATTGCGTCATGATAGATGAAAACACGAGGTGGTCGCCACAAATAGAAGATCGTGCCGACATGATAATAAACCAACTGCGCCACATAAAAGTATATATATGTAGATTTCCACATGCCAGCTTTTTTTCGTGTCGTATCTCGGCATAACTGTGCTACCCGGAAATCACTGGCACTAAGCCAGATTTTTCTTCCACGTTAACTTCTTGTTCAATAATAGCAGTCACTGGTACAAAGCGTATGCATATGAGCAGAACTATGCTCGGAAATTTGCGCTGGCTGGTTAACGAGGTGACGAAACTGTTCTTGGCATGTTAACCATTGCAGTAGCATCCCAGTCCAGTTCTGGCATAAAAGCTTTATACGGGTTGGTGCAAGCGCGACGAATCACGTCGCGCTCGTAGCACAGACAACTGCCAGACGCCAAGTTTGTCTTCGTCGTGTGGACCTTCTTCTTCGTGTGGACCTTCTGAATGTAGCAGCTCCAAACTTAACCAGTTTGTTAACCGTGTTTCAACATGAGCCGGTATCAAAATCTTCATTTTTAGGCGGCATACCTCAAGTTTCCTTCATGTTCCACAGTGAAATGGTACCTTCCTGGCTAGCAGAGCAACTCATAGGTAGGTTTGGGTGACAGTCTAAATCCGCAATAGTAGCTTGATTTGGTAAAAAAGTCAAGATAGCGCGTTCCTCGCCACGCTGTATTTCACACAAGCACAATATGTTAGCGTAGTCAATTTTATGGCAATCGGCGTCAAACAACTTATCGCCAGTTTCGTACTTTAAAGATGAATAGAGCAGCAGAATCAGCAACCACAAAATAATCACCCGTCCCAACAAAACGTATCGACGTGTCTACCTCAGCTTCGCGGAAGACTAATGGCTTGTCCATTTCGTACGTACACTCCAGTGTCGGCTTCACATCGATTACGCTTCCTCTAACATCGCTAGACGCATCACTGTGAGAGGCGACAGCAATCATAATTGGCGTGACATACCATTCCATCACAACACTGCCCGTAACACTCAACATCGACGTTCCATCAGGGGACAGGCAGATGGCTGATAAATTACCATCTTTAGTGCGTGCGGAGCCCCTGCAGGAATCCAGATTGCACCGGTGTATCCGCTCTGGGCGGATCACGTCTATAAACTCAATGTTCCCCGTTATACTTCCAGTAATCAGTACATTCCCCGAATTGTTCCAAGCTAAGCACGTAAGTTGCTTTCCTTCCATAGAAAAGTAATCTTGCATGGGCTCCTCCATACCTCCATGCAAAACAAGGATTTGTTGTATGGAATTGTCGTCTATATCACGACTTGTGAGCAGACACGCAGCAATGGGTGCCTCTCGAGCACACATAAGCTGTTGAGTTTGCAAGTCTTTCTCGTTTGACGGACACGCAATAACTTCCTGTCCGTCAGTATCCCACAACATCATCTCGCCTCCTTCCACAGTACACGCCAGGAGCTACCCACAAACAAAATACAATGGTAAGAAACTGCAGAAATTCAGTAAAATCAGTAAAATCTCCGTCATTCGTGTTGTACCTGTTTGTTTGAGCTCGGACCCAACCAACTCAGACTAGTCAGTCTTGCCGGTAGCTCAATCGTAGAGATCAGAGAAAGGGCTGCTGGATCTGCATTCCAAATGTCAATGTGGGTATTGCCAAGCTTTGCGATAGCAAGAAACTGGCCGTCTGAGGAGAAACGGCTCCTCGCAGTCATCATTGACTTCGTTGGTTTCCAATCGTTAAGCATGTTAAATTCGCGGATTAACGATGCCCGAATGTTGTCGTTCAGTTTTTCAGATGCGTCACTAGACCACTGCGGCGGTGGCTGGTCGTTGTGTAAGTTTTCAGCCAAAGGACTCGAAGACGTGGCAATTGGAGAAAACATGGGTGTCATTAGGTCGCTATCAGCTCCAGTTTCATGTCTTGGCGCGTCCGCGATTTTTTCGCCCTTTTCGTCATCTCGACCGGGAATCTCTTCATCACTCAGCTCATCAGCAGGCAGGTACACCTCTGCAACACGTGGGATGTCGCGTGAATCAACGGGCTCAAAATCTACATGAGGACCGTCCTCGTTAATGACACCAAACAGCTCCCACATGTCTTTCAACTGCTTCTGCGAGAGTCCTATACTCGTTGCTGCTGCGCCATAGCTGCGGCTGCGACTCCTGCTTTTATTCCTATCACTCGTCATATCCACATAGCCAGACGGCGAAAAGTGTTCCATCATACTGTGCTGCACCATCTTGCGAAGAATTGAATGCAATTGTCGCCCAGCTTCCTCTAGTTTTTTTATCTTGGCCATCGCTTCGCTGTTGTATAGCCGAAGTCTTGCAGCTTCTGAATGGCTTACCTTAAGGCGCAATTTTAGCGTCGGCTCTTCCAATCTAGCCAGCTGAAAAGCCAGCAATTTTGGCAGTGGCAAATTTCGGAAAACGAGCGATAAAAAATTGCGGAACGACGTCACGAAGGCTATCAACCACGACTGGCCAAAGAACAATTCAAAGTACGGGTCGCTCTCTGGGTGCTCGATATATGGCAAAATGAACCAGCGACTCCACGAGTCCGAGCCTCCACCTCCTGTAGCTGCCACAGAAGCGTTCAAGTTGTCCGCGTACAGCTGAAAGAATTCGACCACTTTCTCTCGATGTCCAGATTTGACAGCATTGACCACGTAAAGTCTCAGCAATGATGTCTCCAATTGCTGCAATGTCTGATTATAAATCAACAAAAAATAAGGATACAATACAATGTGTTACAAGTCGTTCCTTTCACCTCATATAAACTACCTCTACCAATTTCATACCGAAGCGTAGGATGCGTCCAAATGATTAAAAAAACGTGCAGTTAAAAATTTCCACGTCTCTAATACTGATTCGATCTGATAACTAAGCAAAGTACACACACAAATTACAGACGTTTAGTGACAATAAGATATATTAATTATTAGAGGTGACCATCCCAAAAACAACTATAACGTACGTTTGTATTGCAATTAGCAGCTGAGAAACAATTTGTTCCACGTCAAAGCCTCGTGTACGATCACGTTTGCGCTCGGCACTAAACACTTGAAAGCTCTAAACGAATACGTACGTTTTCACGGAATGTTAATTAATACAGAGCTGTAGAGAGAGAACAAGAGAGAGATTCTTGTACCTTAGTAAAGCCTCGAAACAACAGATACTCCATCACGAGCTCGTCCACGTGCGGCAGGAGACTCGACGGGTTCATACTTCGTTACGTTGTGCACACCAATTTGTCTTTTATTTCTAAATTAAAATAAAAACAGCCAAAACTTTAAACAATTAAGTGTACCACATGATATATGTGTTTTCACGGTGAACAGGCATGTGCCAGTTGACACTTGAAGTAAAAGGTGAAGAATGAGAAAAAGGGTGCGACCCGGCGCATGGCGATGCACCATCAACTTCGTTTGCACCCAAAGAGAAGAAGAAAAACATGAGAGAAATAGGACCTTTGTAGGAACACAACGCAATTTGCAGCTTCGAGAGCGGACGTCTCTGAAAAAAAAGGTGCGAGCAAGAGTGATGGTCTTACTTCAACTTGCAGTTGTTTCGGCCTGGATCGGCTGCGGTAGTGCCCATACCAATGTAGTGGACTTGGTTTCTGCTGCAGCTGCTGCCACTGCTGTCAAGTGTATGAAGGAAACGACGCAGCGTGTGGACTGTTACCCACCAAGTCCTAACTTTCCAGGGCCAACGGAAGAGTTGTGTCTGGCTCAAGGCTGTTGCTGGAAGAGTCTCGAGAATGATGGTGTCCCATGTGCTTTTGCAGAAGAAAATTCGCCTATCGATGCAAAATGTTCAAATGTTGCTAAAGCATCGCGTTTGGCATGTCGAAACCCGAGATTTGCATCTTTGAAGGTACTGGAAGACGCCGACACTTGTCAATTAGTCGGCTGCTGTTTTAGAGATGGAGAGTGTTTTCAGCCGATGACGGATGGATACGAATTATTAACATTGGACAAGACAAGCAATGGATGGCGTGGAACACTTGTGTTGCGACATGGGGACCGTGGACCTTTTGGGAACGATGTGCCTTTGCTTGAGCTGAATGTCATTCGCGAGTCGGAAAGTCAAGTGCGCATCCGTATCACTGACCCCGCTTTTCCACGGTATGAGGTACCAGACCTTCCTGTCCGACGTCAAAACGACAAAAGTGATACGGAAGAGAGTAGTGACTTTGATGTTCACTTTACACCATGGCCGTTTGGAGTTGCGGTCACACGTCGACACTCTGGGGAGGTGCTATTTAATTCAACGCCTCCGGAAGACGATGTTACTTTTAGTGGCTTAGTATTTGAAAACCAGTTCCTCGAGATATCGACCCAGTTGACAGCTGACGAAGACGATGATGAGCCTGTTTTGTACGGCCTTGGTGAACGATTGGGCAATGCACGCCTTCATGCAGATGATAAAGGAGACCTCTATCCGATGTTTGCACGGGCACCAAACGTGTCCGCTCCTGTGCATACTCGCAGTGGTGGGGACAATTTGTACGGCGTTCATCCCTTCGTAATGCAGCTGAAAGGAAGTAACTTAGGTAACGCCCACGGTATATTCGTTCTGTCCTCGAACGCGATGGAGGTTGTGGCGCGTAGCGATGCTCTAACGTATCGACTTACGGGTGGCATTTTCGATGTTTTTGTCTTCTCTGGTCCGACCCCACAAAACGTGATTGAGCAGTACACGGATATTGTCGGTCGTCCAGCTATGCCTCCTTACTGGGCCTTGGGTTATCATGTGGGCCAGCACGGAGAAACAACGTCGATTGACGATGCGATGAGGCTTGTCACGCAGCTCCGCATAGCTGGTGTTCCCATGGATGCATATTGGCAAGATTATGAGTACATGATAGACGATGAACGCGCGCTGTCTTTGAACGAAAAAAAGTTTCCACACCGAGATATGAATGCGTTCATTGACGACCTGCACTTTCACAGCCAGTATTTTGTATGTGTCCAAGTTCCGGCCATTACGTTGACAAATGCGTCCATGACTGGGTATGATAAGGATATGGCGAAATATAGTGCTAGGACAAACCCAAGGCAAACAATTCTTGCACTACATACCCATGACCAAAGGAACGACAGCGATGATGCCGGGTACGAAAAAAATAGCGACAAGGACGATTACATCGATGCTTTGGGAAGCGACACAACTGATAGAAGCGGTAGCGACAAAGGTGAAATATACAACCATGACAGCCACAGCGATGATGATCGAGGTGACCGCAGTAGCAATGAGAAGGATAGAAAGGAATGGGATCCAATTGTGCGGGGCGAAGAGCTGGATGTGTTTATAAAAGGAGTCAACGGCGAGCGCTATGCGCAGAAAGCTTTGCGATCTGGCTGGGCAGTCTTTATCGATTTTTTCCACCCAGAAGCCTCGCGCTATTGGCATGAGCAGTTGGCTATGTTCCATAAGTATGTTGTGCCATTTGACGGATTGTGGCTTGACAGTAATGAGCCCAGCAGCGCCTGTGACTGCACTCTGGCTGCGGAGGATGACGTTTGCGTCCACGTTTGCAGTGGACGACATTTACAGACCAGAGCAACGTCGCCTGGAGGCATTCAAATGGAAGAGTTTGCAACTGGAGCTGATGGCGGGTTCATTCGCACAAACGACGTGAACTTTCCATTTGATCCGTATCGTCAACCATTCGCACCAGGGCAGAACGATCCCAGCAAGGGGGGACATGGCAATTTAAACTCGGGTACGCTTCCTATGGCAGCACTTCACCATTCATCACTCCATTACAATCTCCATTCTCTGTACGGCCATGAACACGCTCGCGCTACGCGACACGCCCTCGACTCCATTGTCAAAAAACGCAGTGTCCTGCTTTCTCGCTCAACTTTCTCTGGAAGTGGTCGGTATACTGGCCACTGGCTGGGCGATAATGCGGAAGCTTCGTGGGAACAACTGCGCTTGTCAATATCTGGTACGCTACAGATGAATCTGTTGGGAATCCCGCTGACAGGACCAAACGTGTGCGGCTCCAAAGGGCGATCATCGAGAGAGCTTTGCGTACGCTGGCATCAAGCTGCTTCATTCCTGCCACTGCTACGAAACCATGCAGAGAATGATGGAGCAAAACAAACACCCATTGACTACGACGCAGACGCCCTTAACATTTTGCGGTCAACTCTGCTGAGGCGCTATCGGTACCTGCCATATATGTACACTCTTTTCTATGAGGCACACCGTTCGGGCAATCCCGTGGCTCGACTGCTCTCGTTTGAGTTTCCAGGTGACAAGAGCGCTCGAGATATCGAGCATCAGTATTTGCTTGGTCCGGCCCTGATGATATCGCCCGTCGTACATGAAGGCGCTATTTCTACGGAGGTGTATTTTCCTGCTGCTCACTGGTACGATGCGCATAGTGGTAAGCTGGCGTTGGATCCCGCAGCTGGTGATAACCGACGTGTTAGCTTGTTGACTCCGTTGCCCAAGCTACAGGTACACCTTCGCGGAGGTTACATTGTCCCGACGCAACAATCGCTTACTACAACAGCTCTTTCTCGACGTGGAGCTTTCACGCTTTTAGCAGCGCTGGATAAATCACAGGAACGCGCATCGGCAGTTGGAGAGCTATATATTGACGATGGTGACTCGTTACTGGCAATGGAAGATCACCGGTACTCACTGGTGGGCTTTAAGGTGTATCAAAATTCAAGCGATACAATTGAGTTCTCGTGCTCCGTAAAGTTTCACGGATACGCTGGACCAGAGATGCATGCAGACCTCGGAGAAGTTCGCGTGTATGGTGTGCACGGGGATGGCTTTGCAGCAAATTCGACAATGGATGCAACACTTGTGTCACCTAGAGGAGGATCTTCGCGTCAACACTCAATTAAAGCTGACTACTTCGCGCAGTCAGACATGCTGGTTCTCTCTCGTCTTAACATGTTTATTGGTCAAGAATTTCATGTGAAGGTGGTTGCCCAACCAGCCGCAGCACCTGAAGCAGGAAAGAATGGAAAGCCGGTAGACGCTAACACTTCGGGAAAGTCTGGAAGCACAGACAATGAGAATGGCGGAACTGAAGAGGGCAATGGCTCGACGTCTCGAAAGAAGAAGTCCAAATTCTCTATCACGGGTATTGTGGGTATCGTCGTGGGTGCCGCTTTTCTGGCTGCAATTATCTTGGTGTTCCTGTTGCGCCGTCGTCGCCAGGGATATGAAACTATATGACAAAACACGACAACACGAGAGTAGATGAAGCATACTAAACGAGCGTCAGCTGCTCGTCAGAGAAATCTGACTACCAGGGGGAAATTGTGCGCTGAATGCCTATCCAACCTTTTCGTAAGAAGACAAATGGAGGTCTACTTATAATAACAACGAGAATTTATCTGCGTGTGGCGTATCATCGTGATGTTGCCGACTATTGTTTCCACCTTGCAGAGTGAAGCGAAAATTCTACTATTCAACAAAGTGCCTGTGTCGAGCTAAGCAAAAAAAGATCTGACCGCCAGCATGTTTTCTTTGCAATAAATATAGTACACGAGAACCACGCACCGAAACACTTCTTCAGAAAAGATGAATGCAGTAGCAAACACGAGTAAACGGTTGTCTTGACGATTACAAAGCTCACAAACGTACACGTCACTGCAGAAGAAAAAAATCATTTAAGCAGCATTCAATCACACTGCTGCGCGTCCAGTCATGTGCACTTTATCTTTGGTACTGCTTGTCCCATCATCGCCATCGATCAGTTCATTTTCGTGTTTGGCATGCTTCTAAAGTCGTGTGTCGAGTATACTAGCATACGCCTTTACTACAGTGCTTAGCTCGAGGTCTTTGCATTCATGCGGCCTGTATTTTTGAGTATCTGCTTAAGATGGTCAATTAGCCTTCGTACGAAACACCTCGAGATTGTCTTAACGATATCCGGCAATCAGTCTCTCTCACAAATGGCTCCATGGTGTTCCTGCACAATGTGATTGGTTCAACGTCATGAGGCATTGCACTCAGACCGTTGTCCCCAATTCAATTATCTTACCTGGAGACTGATGCAGCTTCACGTTAATTCAGCGATACACTTGCAGAGCTTCAGGCTGAATACCGTGAAGCTATATTAGTGAGCATAGACATTATCATGGTATTCTGAAACGTATTGAAGCTTAACACTAAAGGACCTCATTGTTATTTCTTAAAGACGCACGTTGCATGTGTACTAAACAATAAAACGAAACGAGGTATTAATGATTAGGCCTACTGGAAGAGATAACGAGCCTGCTTTTCACTTTACCTTCTTCTGTTGATGACTAGTCTCAACACCGTTGATCTTATGACTCGATAACAAGAATAGAGACAGATTTACGAAATTTGCCACCGAACGAAGCAGGTCTTGGAGTATTAACATGAAGCTCCATTTTAGACCGTAAATGAGGAGCGCCACCCGAAGAAAAGAATGGCAATGAAGAAAAATGCCACCATCGAAATGCCGTACAAATTATAGACGATATTAGTTGCTCTGCCCCAATTGCTACTGCTTCTCGTCGCGTACGTCGCAATCGCCCTCACGTTTTCCTTTTTAAGCTTGGTCGAAGCTTTACCTTCGGCCATGAATGTATTTACCTCCTTCATAACAGCTTCATCGCGGACGGGAGAAACTGTTGTTTTTGGTCTAAAACGCGCAAAGAAGCCTCTCTCATTCTCTTTGATCCCGATCGAATTGTCTAGCGCGTCTGCACTTCTAAGGTGACTGGCTGTGTCGTCATCCTTGACATGCAAACGACCACTTGGGTTCGTCTCGGCGACATCGGATTGGATCTTGCTTGCCACGATGGCGATCACGAACATAATAGGAAAAAAGCCTGTTGGCATGATGCTATGTCAAGGTAAATCTCTTTGTGATGTGCCTGCCTTCTCGTGCGTCTATTCGAGATTGTGTGGCGCTGTGAGCTATGGAAGTTGAAAATCTTCCTATCACATGTCGAGCTCATGATCACTTTTTGCGATGTGCTCGCGCCATCTGCTTCATGCTTCCTGGATCGATCGTATCCTGGTCGGGTTGGGGTCACGCCTTCTCTCACCCCTCGCCGCCAGCCAAGCCGCCACGATGTACGCCGCCATCCCGGCAAAAAGCTTAAGTAAAAGAAGGCTCGGTATCTCTTCCAGTAGGCCTAATCATTAATACCTCGTTTCGTTTTATTGTTTAGTACACATGCAACGTGCGTCTTTAAGAAATAACAATGAGGTCCTTTAGTGTTAAGCTTCAATACGTTTCAGAATACCATGATAATGTCTATGCTCACTAATATAGCTTCACGGTATTCAGCCTGAAGCTCTGCAAGTGTATCGCTGAATTAACGTGAAGCTGCATCAGTCTCCAGGTAAGATAAATGGATTAGGGACAACGGTCTGAGTGCAATGCCTCATGACGTTGGAACTATCACATTGTGCAGGAACACCGTGGACATTCGATTCTTAGACTTCGAAGGGGGGAAGGGAGCTATGTAGCTCTTTTAGTCAGAAGACTACGTTTCTTACAGGCTAACAGACTCCTAGTTGCTAGATTCTAAACAAGAACGGCTATGAGACACTTAGTTTTGAGGAAAACTAATCAAGTGGCTAGAGAGCTTTAGTTCCTTTTGTAATGGGCTAAATGTGCATATGTAACACGCGCCCGTTTAGTATTGAAAACCTAGCGAGCAGGTCTAGAAAGGTACATAAATACCTAAAGACATGTCGCTTGGGGAGACACACCATGTGACACACCCTTGTGTACGTAGGTGTATCCACATCGATGGGGACGACGCCTAGCTGGACTAGGCGTCATTAAGTGAGCTACATAAAAATTCATGCTCGCGCGTAATGGATGCGCATCTACAGAGATGGCATTTATTCATTACAGTATATCAATCATCTTTGATTGATATTTGGTGAAATCTATTCCATATAGACTAGGGCGTGTACCTGTCGTTTCGATGGACATTGTGCGCAAATACTATGCCAATAGTATATCAACTTATGGTCAGACGGTAAGCCAAACATGAAGTTCAAACTGACCGACTTCCAACATTCAGTTGGAATCGGCAGTGGGTTTAGTGGCGCACTGTTCGAAGGTGCAGGCTTTATGCGCTGACACTCTTCGCAAGAGCGAATATAGTTGGCCACCCACCGATATAGGTGGGGGCCACCAAAATTTCTCTGACACTCGTGAGAATGTCGTTTCACGGCCCAGATGCCCACTAGATGGAGCATCATGGCACTCGTGAAGTATCATCAGCTTGAGATCCGTGTCATGAGGGACATAGATTCTCAAGGGATCACAGGGTGACAGTTGATGCCATAACAGGCCATCACTGTAACTAAAGCGATTTAGTTTCGCTTTGAGGTGCGACGGAAGCGTAACCTTTCGTCCACCAAAATGACCCAACAGCAGGCGACAATGTTCGTCCTGACTGTAACACTTCTTTATATCGGAGGCCATTGAGCTCGTCACATGGTAGACCTTCATGGCTGCCAATGTTGACGACTCAACTTGTGCTTTCGCACGAGACAAACTTTCCTGGTGTCTTTCCTCGATGTAATGGGCTACATTACACACATAGTATTAACACAAATAAACAATTACATATGTAGGCAGGTGCTGGGCCCGAATAGCGGGCACAGCGTGGTAATTTATTATTGGTTTATTATTGGGCCTATAGTCCCCAGTATGGACCAATGATAAATCAACCTGAAATTGTGTGGTTCCCGAAAGGCGGGAACACTGTCGTATTTATTACGACTAAAATCTTCGTAATTAGTACGAATTAAAACCAAAATAAAAATCAGAGTTAATTTTACTTAATACCTACTACTTGGGCTTGAGTCTTCCTCGAGCGCACGTGTAAGCTAGTGACGGTACGTTCTAGCCCCGTTACACCTGGTAGCACTTTGTAGTCCTTCCTATGCCCGAGTTTGGGATGAGCGAATCGTCGTACTTTGACGCTCCAAATTTATTTCTGGAGCACGCGACCTTCCCCCATCTTACTGGTGTTGAGTGGGATGCCCTTAATCGCCTCGTGGCGATATCGGGAGAGGCATTCGTCGCGTCGTTGATGAGATCAGCGACCCTTGACGCGCAACGTCTCGCCATACATGAGTTTATGGCACGCGAGCTCGCCGAATCCAACCGGCGAGGCTTAACTCCCTCGCGCCCTTCACGTAATGAGGCCGTGAAGATGGAAACCTCCTCCTACTCTGGAGAAGGTAAGGACCGGTTGTCGCTGAATCGGTGGTTCCGAGAAGTTGATATCGCCATCGCCTCGAGACTTCTTGAGGCTCCACAGGCGAAGGTCAACTTTCTTCTTTCCCGCCTCACCGGGAAGGCCAAGGAGTGGGCCCTTGGTAAGCTCGTTGTGGACGAGCACGCATTTCCCACCTTGGATACCATCCAGGACGATCTTCGTCTTGCTTTCGAGCCACCACATGAGGAGAAACTGGTGCGATCAAGATTCCTGTCGATGCGACAGGGTAAAATGGCGATGCGCGACTACGTACAGATGGCTAGGCATCTGGCGTCGTGTATTATCACGCACCCCATGGACATGTACACGCAGGTGAATGTCTTTGTGGATGGTATGCGTGAGGGGCAGACCCGTTTATCGCTGGAGCGCGCCGAGCCTGCCGCATTGGAGGAGGCATTTGCCATCGCACTCCGTGAGGACTTTAGGGTCACAAAGGCATATGCCAAACCCTCGGTCGTCAGCGTTCCCCGGCCTTCTGGTCCAGAACCTATGGAGATCAACGTTATTGAGTCGTCGGGTGACCGGCGACGTGTCTTTCATCATAAAGGTGACGCTCGCACCGGGCGTCAAATGGTTTGCTTTCGTTGTCGCAAGCCAGGTCATCGCGCGGCAGAGTGCCGTGCGCCAGCTCCAATATCGGTGCAAGTAGTGGACGCCCATCATGAGGGTGCTGTACCGGCCGCACGTCCAAAAAACGGTCGAGACCAGTAGGTGCAGGGCGCCCTACTGGTTGGAACGGAGGTCCGGGTCCCCCGGTGGCAGCCCAACCTTCCAGTCCTCCTGCGCTACGCTCACGGTTAAATGCCACCACTACGAGTGGTGATTCACGTCTGATTATTGTCAGTTTACATGTCGCCGGCGTCCGGCGACCTCTGCGAGCACTCCTGGACTCAGGAGCAACAAACAATTTCTTTCGTGAATCTTGTTTGTCGATGCTGCCTCTTAGCATTCAGGTCCGTGAGGGACCTGGCCAAGTCGTCGTCAAGTTGGCTGACGGGAAACCACACCGCGTATCGCGGCGCGAAGTGTCGTTGCCGTATACGTTTGATGGCTTTCGTAGTAATGATGATTTCTTGATGATCGCAATGAATTATGCATTCGATTGCATACTGGGCATGCCATGGTTGGCACGTTATAAGCCCCAGATCGACTGGTTAGCCAGATCAGTGAGACGTCGACGCAAGTTCGATGTCAGTGAAGTGTTTACCCATCTCTTGGTATTTCTAGGTGACTGGTCGAACGTCACAGTCGTGGATCGTGATTACACGACGTTGGCGGTGCACAGAGCGAGCGATGGCTCTCTCTGCACTGCTTGTGCTGTTCTTCGAGACACAAGTGACAGTGACTCCTCGCTACAGAGCGAAGAGGACGACGAGGACGACGCGGTCGAACAGGGGTTCCCGCGCGTTATTAATGCGGTTGAACAGGGGTTCCCGCACGAGAATGCAGTGGTTGAACCTGGGTTCCCATCTGCACCTATTGTGGTCGAGCAGGGGCTCCCACAAAGGCATTGTGACGACGAGCAAGAGCTCGCCAGCGAGTGTGACGTGGACGGACAGGAGTCCCCACGCGAGAGCATGATGGTCGAACCGGGGTTCCCATCATCACCCACTGTGGTCGAACCGAGGTTCCCACATGGGCATATTGTGGTCGGGCAGGGGCTCCCACACGAGTACAACGTGGACGGACAGGAGTCCCCACGCGAGAGCATGATGGTCGAACCGGGGTTCCCATCATCACCCACTGTGGTCGAACCGAGGTTCCCACATGGGCATACTGTGGTTGAGCAGGGGCTCCCACACGGGTTTACGGCGGCCGAGCAGGAACTCCCGCATCAAGTGTCGACGGTCGAGTTTGGGGTACTCCCGTCCAGTGTTTCCGGCATCTTGGATGAAGACATCCAGTGCCTTAAGGGGGGTGATGGTTTATCACCTGAATGCGGTTCGCCAGCTTCGAGTAGTGACTCGAAGCACGATGGGGACACCAGCACCGAGAATTTAGCGTTGGAATGTGTCCACGCTATCGTGTACGTGGAAGGGAGTCCACAAAGGCGCCAATATATCGAGGTCGAGAGTCCTCCTCGTCATGCGTCTTCCATTGCAAGTCTTCCAGGGATTTCCTGGAAGCATTTCCTACGTGACCTTAAGGGAGGCACTGTGGAACAAGTGTGTCTAATCACCAACGAGGTGGTTACCGTGGCAAACGAGGAGCATATGGCGCGTCCTCGAAGCGCTGAGCCGAAGTCTGCGCGTGAAGAAAGGTTTGCATCACAGTCATGGGAGGCCCTGCGAGAGTCTGGTAACCCCGTCTACGACATTGATCGTGAGTATGCAGACGTGTCCCCGGACAAGATCCCGGCTGAACTTCCTGCGGACCGTGGTGTTCGGCACGAGATTGATCTCGTGCCAGGGTCGAAGTATTGTGTGACACGGCAGTGGCCGTTGCCTCGAGATCAAGTCGAAGCTATTGACGCATCCTTCGAAGGCCGCCGCAAAGCGGGTCATGTGCGGGAGAGTATCTCACCACATTCGAGTCCAACCTTCTGCGTGAAGAAGGCTACGGGAGGCTGGCGGATAGTGCACGCGTTCA